CATTTAAAACAAAAAACTTACACTTATATCAAGATTTTAAAGTAAGTTTTTCATTAAAGTTGCAATAATTTTCACTGATATTGACAAATTATGTTGCTGTAATTACACAATGCTTGGAATTATATGTGTTGATTACCAAGCAATTAGGAGCAGTGAGGGGATAAAGTAGATATTTGTGACTTAATAAAATCTCCTTTGATTCTTATGCACAATAGGTTAAAACACACATAACAACACAATCAACAGCATGTACTACTAATAGCAGTTTTGATCACTAAGTTATCAGATACAAACACAAGATAAATTTACATAATATTCATCCATAGATCGTCAAATTGTTACAATAAAAAAAATAACAATAATTCTGGTATGAAATTATCTGACAAAATAAATTATTATATCCGATTTAAAATTGTGACCCCATAGAAATTATCTAAGTATCCTGACATAAGATAAATTTACAGAATATTTATCCATAGATCGTCAATTTGTTGCAACAAAAAACATGCAATAAAGAGTTGCATTTTATTTAATACTTTTCTTAAGATATATTAAACCAAAATTAATTTTTTAACTTTTTATTGTTTATATTTTCATTTATGAAGAATTCAAGGGAAAAATGACATGAGTCAAATTTTTCGACAAATCAAGTACTTTAATATTTATTAAGATTTACTGCAGGTTAAAATTTAAAAAAACTTTTCAAAGCTTTTTCAAAAAAAAAAAAAAAAATTTAGGTTTGTGTAATATTTTTGATCATTACAGTTAAATTTTTACAATAAAAAATATAACATGTTGAACCTAAAACAAAATATTAGTTAAAATTTGCTCAGTAGGTTAACTTTCCACAGTACTCTTTTTTAAATGAATAAAAATATTTCATCAGAGCCAATAGCCATTCAGAGCCATCGATTCTAATAATAGATATAATACATAGTGTTATCCAAAGGGTAGCATCAAATTATTCAAGTTACAACGCCATGTTGTAATTTGGAAAACTATTTTTCTTACTTAAAAAAAAGAAGAAAAAACTAAAGTATATTACAAAATACAATTACAAAAAAATTATATTCATGCAAAAATACATCATGTATTGCTAAGTAATTTGAATTATCACTCTCTACAAAAAAAAAGAATGTAAAAATTCGCCCAAAGAAAATTAAAAGAATAAAATATTTCATTTATATAAATGAGATACTAAAAAAAACCAGTTTTTTATAATATATATATTTGAGAGTTTTGGATTCACTGATTAAATAAGTGTTTAAATTTTATAACTCTAACAAAACATTTATAAATAAAAAGTAGAAATTATTATAATTCTAAAGAAAGAAACTATTTAAAGAAAAAAAAACCTTTAAAATAAAAATACAAAAAAAATTAAGTATTTTTTTCCGTTATTTAAAAAATAAATGCATATCAAAAGTTATAACAATAATATAAATACAAAAGAATCTTTCCAAAGGTGGTACTCATCTAGCTTAGCACTATTATAAAACAATATAAAAGCAAGATTATTTACAACTTTCAAATGTTCAAAATAATAACAACTGTGACCTATTGCAATTCCTTCCTTGGCTATTGGCTTCAACAATTATATTAAAAGTATTATAAAAAATTATGCATAACTTGTATCTTAATTCTTCAAAATGCAATAAAGTATCATAAATAAAATATAAATATGGATAAGATGATCTATAGGGATCAAATATTCAATAAATAAACGTAAAAAAGAGAGAATATTTCTTTTTATATTATCTCATTAATCATTTTTTGAAACCAAACAATTTCACATTAAGATAAATAAATATAAAAAATGCTTTTAATTTTTAAAGCTTTTTTTCCCCCTTTTCTTTTTCCTTTGAAACTCAGATGAATTAGTAGAGGTAAAAATAGGACATGTGCTTTTGATTCCCAATTTAGCATAGCCTATTTCATAAAATCTACCAATCCAAACGTTAAGTCCTAAACTGTCATAACACCAAATATGACTATATCTTCTGTCACATCCTTATCTAATCTTAACTGATAATTTTTTTTTACACTAACTAAAATAACAAAAAAGAAATTTACAAAACTACTACAACAATAAATACAATGATTTATAAATAATCATCTAAAAATTACATAGGCTTTTGTACATAACAAACTTCCAACAAACATTCAAGTCTTGTGGAAGAATTCTTTGAGTGCTACAAACTTAACTTTTCGGTTCACCGGTACATACAATATGCTACAGGATATTTTTACAAAAGAAACATTTACATACAATATGCAGATTAGTTATTGACTGAAAGAAATATGCATTGTTTTGCATATCAAACAGATTTTTCAGCAAACAAAAGCTGAATACTTCTCCCAAAGAAGCTTGAGTTACTTTTTTCATAATCCAACCAAAAAATGCGTCAAAAATATTTTTTGTTAAGAACAGCCTATGCTATTAAAGTAGAAAATGTTGAGCACTGTATAAGTTTGCTTCAATAGAGAACACAAGACTGATTTGCTATCGCAGAAGAATAAAAACTTATTCACACTGACTTCAATCATCATATACTAGCATATCAAAGGCACAAGGCAAAATCAAAATCTTTCTTGAAATATGCCTTTCTTATTTTAAAAACTGATATTCTATAGAATGAGAATTATCTGATCCTCTTTAATATGCAAGATAAAAAAAAAGATAACCAAGTTATAAAATTTTAAAAAAATGAAATGATAGATATGTTGCTAAACGAAATAAGATAACTCAGTAAATTGCTATAAGTAAAAATATGAAATAAGATATCTTAAATTAAGATATATAAACAAAATGTATAAAACAAAGCAAGTTAGTTAAATTTTGTCGCTTCTACAGGCAACACAAACAAATTAAATTTTCTATTTATCATGCAATTTTTTTCATTATTCACTTTTTTTTTCCGGTGTCACATACAAGCAACGTTACTATCCACATTAAAGTTCTCAGTTTCACCCCATATTCTTTCCTTTTTAATCCTAAAACATAAAACAATTTTAAATGGAAAAAAATTAACATCATTAGCACCATTTATGATTAAATAGCAATTTTAGTTTCTCATTAAAATTCATTATAACCCGATTAAAACATACGGTTATTATTTTGAGAATTATGATTTTGGCAAGTTTCTGGAAAAAATAGAACTTACAAATTTATATATTTTGGCACCAGCACTTATAACTTTTTGTTTTACTTATAATTTCTCAGGAGAAAATTTTATCGGTAAATCTTGTTCAGTATTAAAAAAAAACAAAAACATATACACACCTTAATTCTTTTTAAGAAAAGGATACAGCACATTTTTTAGAGATAATTACATTAAAAATTGATTTCAAATTTTATATTTCCAAATTAAAGTTGTATTCATGTTTGTAATTAAAAAACTGGAAGACTAACGGATTAATGAAACTAAATTAGTATGAAAAATTACTTTTATAAACTTAAATTACGCATAATGATTAAAGAAAGCATGAATAAGTTATTACAAGTAAATAATTAGCTATTTTCCATGATTTTACAAAATCTTGTCATTAGACTTCCTAAAAAAATTTGTAATTATAAAATGTATATGTCATATAAACATTGCATATCAGCTAGTATGGCATCATCATCAATGACAAATTTCATTCACTACACTCACATATCATGCCTCCTTTTTACATCTGATTTAACATTTTTACACATCTGATTTAAGAGGGGGGAGGAGAGAATGTTAACATGATTGTAACCAGGAGTCTACAAAAGTTTAGCATATCTAAATACTAGCATATTATGTAATGGGAAGTAGGAGAGCTACATTTTGCTTTATAAAATTACAAATTATTTCTATATGATCAAAATAAATATAATTTTTTTTATTTAATATTAACTAAAAATAAATAAATTGGTGGAATGTATGTTCGCTTTTAAATGTTTCTAGTTTGATGGACTTCCTAAAACCAATTACAACTTTTGATGTGAAATTAAAAATAATCTAGAAATTACTCGAGTTTTCTATTCTAGCTTTATAACTCAATTATGGCCTGAGATTAACCCAACTGTGGGAACTTACATTAAGTCATATGTTTGTGCAATATAACTATTCTATATTGCAACATTTTTCAATTCAGAATAGCATTTTTAATAACATCATTTTTGCCAGTATTCTTCATCAAATATTTTCCTTGCTTGTACAATTACTTGCAAAACAATCAGTCGCAGTCTATTTATTCCTAGATTTGTAGAAATAACTTTTTACTTTGTAAAATTCATTTTTTCATTTTTTAAAAAAATAATCAAAAATCTGGTGCAAACAATTATGTCATTAAATTAAATGACAGAAGCAGATTTTTAATAAATAATGTTCTGGAGAATGTCTAACAAAATTTAAAAACAGTAAATATTTTGGCTCTAACAGTGATATTTTAGAGGCAATGACAACAAGGTGACAGGGATTTGTAGACTCCTGATAATAACTGAGGAAATTCAGGGATTTTCCATCGTTAAAAAAAATGTAAAGTTAAAAAGATCTTTTTTATAATTTAAAAGGCAAGACCATATTTGTTAGCATACTACCTATATAGTTTAAGAATTATTACATAGTTGTAGTTAAAGAATGTAAGTTGATAGATGTAATCCTTAGTTCTTTTAAATCAATACAGATAAAACATAAAATTATCAAAAGCTTTTATACATTTTTTAATAGCATTATCAAATTTTGAAGATGGCACGAGGAAGAAATTTTTTGATTTTAGTTAAAGTTTCAATATATGAATATTTAGTTAGTTGATAATGCAGCTGCCAACATTTCAAAACTAAAGAGACTTATAGATGTAGGCAAAAATTAATAGTATTTCTTTTCAGGGGAAGTTTTAAGAAAAAAAGTTTTTTTCACATACAAATATTTCATTTATTTAAAAAAAAAAAAAATTAAGAGACTTATGCTGTTTTTAAAAATTTGGGAAACTTTTGTACATTATAAAGAGTTGGCAGCTATACAAATACAATATTTGAAATATTTTAAAACTTATTTTTGCCTAATACAACATTAAATAAATAAACAAAATTTATTGGTTGTTTATTATTTTTTTAAATAACCCCTTCTTCATTAATAATACCTATACTTCACAGATTCCAGTTAGTCTTGTTCAGATGAATAGATAATACATAAGCATCAAACTCAGAGAATCAATCAGAATCTCACATGATGAAATGGATTTACTATAAACTACAAATTTTAATGGCAGCTCTGCATATCTTAGCTGAGTTCAGACAAACAAGCAAAACATTAATGATGAATTAGTCAAGTCTATATATTTAGTAGCTCAACATTACTCATCCCATAAACACTGTTGTTTCTGTTGTACAAAAAACTCAAATGAGCGGCATTTACGGCAAGTTTTGATCCCACACCTATAACTAATGGCTTTACCAGAGGAATCTTTCCCACGACAGTACTTTAGGCCACATGGATACCAACCGACACATATTTCTAGCCGGCACTGGCAGGGTTGCCACAGGTTGGTGTTTTCATTGCAACGGACGGGCTTAGGAGGTGGTGAACGTTTTACGGCAGAAGTCAAGGTGACAATGTCTCTACTCAAAGCTATAACACAAACAAACATATATGTAACACACAAATATAAAAGAAAATAAGCGAATGGGCTACACAGTGGTAAATCTCATATTCAGAATCTTCGGACTTTGGCAAGTCCGAAAAAATAGTTCTTTCTGGATAATGGATCATTAAGAAAAACTAGTATCAAAACATACAATATGCAATAAAAAATAGACTATAATTAAAGCCAGTTTCATACAACGTTTTCTTACAGGCTGAATGACCTTTATTAAACTAAAGACTGTTTAGCATCTATACTTATAAAGTCATGTTGTCATTCCTTACTTGTAGTACGAAAATACTTAACTCAAACAGTTGACTTTTTTTTTTTTTTTGAAAATATACATATTTAGCGTCCTTAAATAATAGTGTTGTGAGCATATAATAGCTATATTTTTTATTAAACTTTCAGCAGAATGGTAACAAAAAATGTTTAGCATTGTAAAATAATAGTTCCTGGTGCATTTATTGTGCTATTATTATAAAATTTTCTGCAGAATGGTAAAACTTTTGTTCAGGTGATAATATTTGATATGCCAATTTCCTTACTTAAAAAATGCCAATTTTGTATTAAAAATTGACTTTAAGTTTGTATTTGCAATAATTGATTCTGTTTTCAGCATGTGACGAAAGTTGCACCACATGAATAAAAATGCGCCAAAAGTGGTTGGTGAGAAACAAATCATCAAACATCAGGTGCTAACATGTAGCTAAACAGTTCCATAAACTGTTTTAGCTCCCCACAATTTTAAAAAGAATTTTTATTTTTTTCAGTTTACTACATTTCTTTCTTTCCCCCCTGAGGCATTAAATAAGAACCCTGGATTAAAAATACTAAACAAAGGTAGCAACAATTTATACAATACAATTATAATGTTGATTTAATTTATCAGAAACAAATGATGCTAAAACTATATCTAGAAAAAATTAATAACTAAACCTAGAACAAAAAAGAAAGAAAAAAAAAGACTGGGGATGTTAATAATTACAGAATTGACACTGTTTTAAAATAAAAATTATGAAATTATAACGTAATACTTATTTAAGTAGATAAACTCACAAAGAAAAAAAACTTTTTCTACCTTTAGGACTTGCCCAGGCTCTTAAATCTATTTCTCTGGCAAAAGCAGAATTCGAAGCTTCATCACAAATATTTGGAAGATGTGGGGAAATGACGGAAGACTTCTCAAGTTCCACGCTCAAATCCATTTCCAGATTTTCTTTACCTCTGTCTTCTTCTGGTTGCCTTACTGCTCCAGGATTACGCTATAAAAAAGATAATAAATTAAACTTTTCCTTTTTAATAGATTAAACGAAGAACTGATGTTCGATACTCAGTGATGGCATGAAGCTCACCCAGTTTTAAATCTATTGGGAATAACTTGTCTCAGAAAAAAAAGTTGCTTGGGCTCAAAGTCAACCACATTTCTAAAGTCTAGTCATGTTGAAGTTTGGAGCCTTAACCTCAATCAACCATATGGCCGACAATGGACTGTGGCAGGGGTGTTTTTTTCCCCTCTTATGAAACAAATATAATAAACAGAACTATACCAAGACATAAGTGAAAAATGCACTCTCTTGTATATTACAGAGAGATATAAAAAGCAAACTGCTTTTCTATTTATTTACTTTTATCACTACCTCAGGATTGTGTCATAATTACAAGCTACAAATAAAAGTACCTCTTACAGTAATAATTCACTACTCAGATTCCCTAGTGGCCAAAGAAAAAATCAATACAACATTTTCTAAAATTACAGGACATGCTCTAGAACATTATCTACAGACTAGACAACTTTTAAAAAAGGCAAACTAAGACTGAACATTAATTTATTCTACTTATATCAGAATTACTTTGCTTAGAACAGAAAGTTTTTACAGTTTCCAGTATAATTTTATAAATACTGAACAGTAATAAGGCAAAATTAACTGTTGCTATAGACCACAGGGTGACTAAACATAAAAAAAGCGATTAGGAAATTGTCTGCCAGTCACCAATATCATAATTCTTTGATTCCTCAAATATATTTTTTAAAAATCGAAGCTTGTATTATTACAACATGAGGTGTACTGAACACGCAAAAATCAGAAATATCAGGACAAACAGCTAAAGATAAGAACAAAATATTTTTTATCAGGAATATAAGGATAGCTACAAATCCTGTAACCAGGCAGTTGATTGCAGAAAGAAGAAATTATCTGAATTTTTTTTCTTCTCAATATGTTGATTTCTTTAGCACTTAATTTTTTGATTTTGTCTTGAGACCAATCTCAAGACAAAATCAAAAAAACAAAAGCCTTAAAACTCAGCCTGAAACCCTAAGAAAAGGGTTGGCAGATCTGCTTAACTTAAAACAAATGTTTTCCAAAATATTCTATAACCAGACATGTGATTGCAAAAAGAAAAAATAATATAAATTTTTTTTTCTTCTCAATTTATAGATTTTTTTAGAACTTTATTTTTTGATTCTGTACTGAGATAGGACACAAAAGCCTGAGACTCAACAATAGAGGAAAAATTGGCAGGTCTGCCTCAACTTATATTATATATATATACATACAGCAGAATACAGACAAGCGGTATAAAAGGTAAAGAGAGATAAGCGAAGAAATTAAGAAAATTATTAAGTTTTATTAACTGTGCATAAGCTGCAAGCATAAAAAAAAATTTAAATTAGTCCAAGATTTATAAATTGCTAAACTTGTATCAAAAAATATCATACGTGTCGCTCTGCAGGCAGCGGGAGAGCAACTGTGGAAGAAAAAAATTCAGAATTTCCATGTCATAATATCAAATTAAAAATAAGTTCAGTCTTACTGTAGGCAAGTAAAAAAAAAAAAAAGAGGACAAATATATCACATTGATTAAATTATACTTCTGTTACAAATCAGAATTTACAACTAAATTGCTACACATTAAAATATAAGTTTTACAAAAATGTAAAAAAAAACACAATTTTTTCTAGCAAACAATCTTTTAAATGTTTGCCATATCAAAATAAATTTTTAGATTATCAATTTTAGACTTATGTGTCACACTTAGTATTTCCTTAATTCCAGCAGAAGTTAGTAATGAATTTTTTCTTTTTTCAGTCTCAAATTCTCTAAGTTTATCCAAAACTGCATTTTTCTCTAGCAATTTTACATAAAATAAAAAAAAAAGTCTTTATTGCGCATGAATGAGAAATTAGATAGAAAAAACAGAGGGTGCTGATAAGAGCGGAATAAATGTTCGATAAACGAGATTTTGTGACCGAGAAAATTTCGAAGGAATATGAAGTATTGACTTGCACAAGTCATCGAATTAATGGTTTTGAGATTCGCAGAGAACCATGAATTTGCGGAAAAATCATATGCCTGAGTAACTTTTACATACAAAATATTGATTGAATTACCTGTCTAAGTTTAGACATGGCATCTGCAGAAATAAAATCATTCTTGGTCAACTGTGTCACAAAACATAGAACTTGGTATTGACTCTGGCCCCTCTCCTCCTCTCCTAAAACTAGAATCCGGAAGATTTGTACTTCCTAAAAAAAAATAGTTTTATTCAATTAGAAATTTATTAACTAAAAGAATAAACTAAAGAATGGATTACTTAAAGAACTCTTAATAATTTCTTGAACATAAATAGTAGAATGCAAACAAAACTGAGACAAAAATCTCTTCTTTTTTTTCTCGAATAAATCAAGTTTTAGAATCATTAACATTTCTAAAAGAGTCATATTAAAATTATTTAAAATTTAACTGTAAAGGTTGGCCACTGTTTCACAAATGGTGAAACAAAAGTCCAATTTATTATTCCATTATTCATTTCCATAAAAAGTTCATTACTATTACAAAGATGAACTCAGACAGTTTAACAAATTATAATAGTGCACAACAAAACAACCATTTGAATTTTTTTTAAGAAACATTAAAATGGAAGGTTGAGAAAAACATCTTGTAATAGTTATTTATTTTACATAAATTTTTGTGTTTAAAATTTTAACTTGGGGCTAAATGTATAGAATATTCTAATTATTAAAACTGTACTTATGTAAAACTAAATAATTTCAAATATTTTCTATTCCACAATGCAATAAAGAATAACTTGAGATTCTCTCGTTTCAGGTTTTCTTATAAACCAATTTTATAAAAATCATAGGTCAATACAAATTTTTTTATTAAGCAAGGATGTCTATTATATAAGATTAGATAGATCAATATCATATGGCACCCCAATATGGATAAATAAAAAGAATATTTTGTAAGAAAGGAAGAATTGAACTTGTTTGCAGATTAATAACATCATCCAAAAAGGATAGGATATATTTTGTGCTATGTAGACTAAAGCAAAAAAATGTGAATAAAGCACTAATGAAAACACAGAAATAGACACATTTCATTTTTGAATTGATAAACAAGAGCCTTCAACCTTCCTCGGTGTTTAAACACCAAATGATCGAAGAGAAGTAAAGAAAGAAAAATGTGCAAAGTGATTTAACTAATGAGGACAGAGAGACAAGTTTAAACAAGATAATGAAAAAAGGGGATAAAAGAAAGAAGTGTGAGGGAATTTGTAGTGTAGGATAACCACAAACGTTAGGAAACTAGAAAGATCATTAACTAAATCATTAGAATTTTCCAAAATATGGAATGACTCCCAAAAATCAAGTTCAGTATATGAAGAGCAGTGTTGAATGATTTTAAATGAAAACTGAAACCAGAAATTAGAATTTGAACTATGTAGAACGGTGGAAAAATCGGTCAATTTCCTGATTTTTGGACGTATCTTTAGTGAACATTAAGTTGAACAAGTAGTTTAAATAGTTATCTTCCCAATAAAGAGCTCTTTCACATGAAAGCTATGGCTGTAGATTGTGATCTTCCTTCTAATATTATTGATTCCATCGACAGAAAATTAATCTCGCCATTCAACAAACTCTCTAGTTCTACCTTTAACAATTTCAGGGGTGATTGTGAGCCCAAGTGAAAATTCCGGAAAATTTCTTGATTAAAAAAAAAAAAAAACAGTTTAAATTGAAAAAAAATTTAACAAGTTTTTTTTCTTCCTTTTTCTCAATATTTCTTAGTTTACTTAAAATTTTACACATTCCTATACCATTTACACATACCTATGATGACCTGGAGAAGTAATTAAAATGTACAAATATGTCTTTCTTTCTTGAGTTTATGATTATAACAACTATTAACTGATAAAAAATGAATATTAATCATGAATATAAGCTTATAAAGTATCTTTCTGGGTCTCCCTTACAAACAAATAAAATAAACCCTTGAAAATTTTATTTCCGGAAACTTCTGTGATCAATGATTTTTTGAAACATCTGGAACTTTGATCTCCGGAAACTTCCGGATCACTGTTAGCGAAAATTCTGGATATCCGGATTTTTTCCGGAGCACAATCAGCCCTGCAATTTGATTGTTTTACCTTATCTGAAAATCAATTCCCAAACTGCTTAAGATGTTAAATAAATATGTATTAAAAAAAAAAATTTCCCTGTAAATAAACTAAATTTCACCAACCTTAAAGATCCTATTGCTGACATTAATAGCTCTGATATTTATCAAATTTCATGTCAATGTGGTCTTACTTATATTGTACAAACTAAACATGCCCATAAGGTCATAAACCTGAACAAGAAAGATACGTCCAAAATCAGGACTAACAGATTTTCCATTGCTCTGTATAGTAGAAATTCTAATCACAGGTTTCAGTTTTCTTCTACTAAAATCATTCAACACTGCTCATCTACCGAACTTGATTTTTGGGAATTATTCCATATTTTGAAAAATTCTAATAATTTAGTTAATAATTTTTATAATATCCCACCAAATATATTATTCCATATATTTTTTTAAATTGTTCCTCTGTCCCTATTGATTAAACCACCTTGCATGTGTTTGTCTCTTTACTTCTCTACCATCATTTGGTGTTTGGCACACTGAGGAAGGTTTTTGTTTATAGAACCGAAACTATAGTATGTCTATTTCTGTACTTAGCTTTATTCATGTTTTTCTTTTCTCTTTGCTACAAAAAACAAAATTATTTATATTTTATATACTAAAAGAAATTAACAGTTAGTTTGCTTTTTTTTCCTAGTTAGCTATGTGATTGAAAGTTTGCTGTTACATAACAACATTTTCTAATGGTTTAAGAGTAGCAATTTTTTACTGCAATAATTTAGGATGACAATTTCTAATTTTAGAGCAGTTAGACATAGCTAAATGCATGTTTTAAAGTCCCCAAAGCAAAATGAAAGTAGTCCTCTGTCGGAAAAATTTTGCATTTTCATATTTAGAAAAATTTTTGAAAAGCCTTTACTCAAAATTGAAGTTTTTACAGATAGGTAGATTAATGCACCTAGTGATCTGTTGGACCAGGCTCAATTATTTTAATGCTACTGAACTTTTTTGTTTAATAGCTTTAACAAAACAAATTATTTGAAAATACAAAATAATTCAAATACTACAAATCATTTGAAAGAATCACATAGTGCAGTTAAAGCCAACCCTTTTTTATTTCAACAAATTATATTTTAACATTGCTTTAATTTTCAGAAGTGTACTTGGAATTTTAACTGTATCTTGTTTCGATAAGAACAGATCAATATATTGAGAGGATTTTACAAGGTAAGATTTCTGAACTGGTAAACACTAACAGCTTATAAATTAATAATATGATAATGAGAGAAATAATTATAATCTTTTGGGAAACTCAGATCATGGGGTATGTTGATCTACTAAAAACTGGGATATATTGGACCATCAAAATAATTCAAAGAAACGTTATTCTAAGCATTATTCTAGTTATTTTATACAGTTATACACTTAAAACTCTCTCAATTAAAAGTCTAAATAATAATTATTTAAACTTTTTTATATTATGTTCGAAGTAGAAAAGTCTTGCAAATACTACAGAAGAATAATCCAAATTATATCAGGTCGATAGATGACGTAACCATAACAACTATAAATGTTTCTTTTTATTACTTCAAATAAAAAGAAAAGAGTTGTAACCATAAATGACTTAACCTAAGCCATTATAAAAGTTTGTTTACATTATTTCGAATAAAAAGAGAAGAGATATAAAATGGGAAATTAGTAAATATCAAATCTAAGACCTAGAGAAAAAAATTTAAATGAGTTACTAAATTCTAAATGTCTCAAACTAGCTTTTATGGCGTAACAAATAAACTTGAGGAAAATTTTATTTTACCGATTTAAAATCTACAAATTGTGTTATCAATGTCCCCTCTGGACGTTGGAATTCTAAAGTTATTGTGTCATCAGTTATATTTGAAGTAATTGATTCTTGAACAATGTCACCACCTTGATTTTTTACATTAATAACAAGTTGGCATTCACTAAACGTCAAACTGCCGAAATTATAAAATACGATAAATATGACGACGATGTCAATACTATAATGAAACATCATTGTATGATAATTATGGAAGGTAATAGGTTCTAAATATATGCACAGAGTAAAGCTTATGAAGTTTCATATTTTGCATTTGGGACGCATTTATTATTCAAAATTGAAATCAGCAAAGATGCTAGTTAGCATCCACAGCTGATTATTAATCAACCAACAGCCATGTTTTGAACGTCTTCTCAGATAGAGCAGTATGGAGTTGTGTTGTTTAAAGACCGTGACAGCAAATGAATTACGAGCTTAGTTGAGTTTTAATTCAAGGGCAAATAAAAGTAAGCTTTAGGATTAAAAATACTGCAAATTAAGTTTCAGATTAAACACATAAAGGTATATAATCACAATAAACCGCGAAAATGATACCGAAACACATTCTGCTATTGTTTTCATAAAACAGCTGTTGACAAAACTATTCATATATGTGGCAACAAAGTTTAATCATAATAAAGCGATGGCCGAATTAAGAATTTTAAAATATTCAATTCATCAAAGTTCTAGTCACTCTACTCCATTTATACCAGAGTATGTCAAAATTCTCTTATTATTATCTCTTATAATGTTATGCTCTTATGTCAATTAATATATTTCCCGGTAGTTTCATAGTTTAATTTTAAATTCCATTTGAAATACAAACCATTCTGAAATGAGTTATCAAATTATTTTATTATTTTTGTACATTATGCAAGCAAAGTTTATGTCAGTCCTTGCTTATTATAAATTTCTTTCTTTTACTTAATTAATCGTTTTATTAGTCTATTGTTACTTCATACTTTTTAGATAGCTTTCCTCGGGCTGTGCTTATGAAACAATAGGATAGACACACAAAGCTTTGTTCGTATTGTAATTCTTTGTTTGATGCACCATATTCTTCAAATTATGCCACTAGTTAAAATCAATAAACGAATATTTATAGTTCGTGGCTTACCCGGGGTGTGGTATGAGTTTGCCCCATTGTATGATAAACAAAGTTATTCAGTTCAGTGATATGATTATGATGATTTTACAAGAGAGTGTCACCGAGCTCTATGTGATTAGTTTGGGTACTTATCTGTTTTTGGAAACAGGAAAATTTCCTTATCGTCATTTACGCCAAAATAAAGGTCAAGATTTGGAGAGTATGGGCTGTGGCCCGCTACAAACTTTAAAAAAATTACAGCAGAGTCAAACTCATATAATACAACTCGTGGTCACTCTCGGATAAAGCTCTACACATTTTTTTAAAATTTTTTGCTGGTTTAAAATCCCTATAGTATCTCAGAGATTGTAGTTGGCAGGAACAGACTGATACTGAAATTTCCTCTGATTGACCTGTAGTGTATCTACCACTACAAAATTGCAGTTACAATTCACTAGTATATAATACATGTTAACTCGATTCTATGGTGGGGTACCTTTTCATAGATGAAAGGTGACATGATCTGTAACGTATCTATAACAGTCAGAGGTCTCTTTATGTGAAACTGTTTCTATCTTTGTCAAATTGTTTTAATTATATATATAAACAGAACAAAGTTACAAACTTAACCCTTCAATATTTTCATATTAACACATATCCTTGTTAAAGCAATTCATCCCACAAAAGACACTTATTTATTTAGTTTAATTTGATTTAATCATAATTTTAAACTATAACTTTTTTGCTGACTTTATGGTTTAATATTGGATGCAAAAAGAAAAAAAAAACTTAGATAATTATCACAAATTAAACGAATTTTATTTATTAAGAACAAAATATAATTTTGCATTTGTAGATTTCCTGTCACAAGAAAGTTTATCCTCTTGACCTCTCTTTGAGTGCCAGTTGTAAAAAAATCATATTTCAGGTCAGAAACTCTGAAAAATGATTTAGAATAATTTTTGATAAAATCTGGCATTACAATTCTAAAGCATAAATGATGGTTAACAAAATTAAAGCAGATGAATCAATATAATAGTTGAAGCAGAAACCTAATGATTATATTAAAATTTTATAATATAGATACAGTAGGGAACCGACTATCCGGATAACTGATTTTTCCGGTTTTCTGAATCGCTACAAAAAGCCATTTTTTTTTTTTATTGTTAAACCCAACTAAATATAAAAAATTTTTTGGAAATAATCTTAAAAAGATGAAAAAAAACAATGAAGTAATACACTAAAGATTAGTTCCAAAATAATGGTAAGGTGAACATCTTTCAAAAAAGAGAGAAAAATCCTAACATCTTATGAGGAAAAAAAATTTTTTTTTTTAAAATGGTGGGAAAATTGATTGAATTTCGGTCCGGTTTTCTGATTTACGGATAACGGGTTCTGTACTGTATCTTTAATTTAACGGCTTCCCTGATTATCCCGAGTTAACTCGGGTATGTATATATTGTAAAAATTTATTATCCCGATTATACTCGGGCATAGCAGAATTATTCAATATGTTTTGTTTTATCACGTTTTTATTCAACCGGAAGCAAAACAAAATCTGCTGTGATTGGAAGTTTGCCAATTTTTGTTCGAGAGTTTTGCTATTTGTGGACTGCAGTCGTGTTTTGTATAATTGTATATACAGGGTGATTCTAAAAAGATGGGCAAAATTTTAGGAAGTGATAGTACACACCCAGACAAAAAATTTTTATCAGAGAATGCATGGTCGAAAACAAAACCCAAAACCGCTAGAAGAGGGCGTCAAAGTTTATGTTCTTATATGAGGCAAAAACACACAAAGGACGATGAAGTTAAGTTATAAAAGCAAATTTAATGGCATATGATTACAATAAGTGTTCAAAACAGTGGCCGGCAGCGGCCTGCTGGTAGAACAGCGAATAAAAGATAGACGAACTTTCCCTGCAGCAACTGAAAGCTTGGCGACAAATAACGTAGCGCAGTAACTCGCAACTGGAATGGATCTTTCTCGTTTGCATGAAAAAACTTTCCAAATGCGCCAGCACCTTTGCGTTTCGTTTTCGACCATGCATTCTTTGATAAAAATTGTTTGTCTGGATGTGTACTATCACTTCCTAAAATTTTTCCCATCTTTTTAGAATCACCCTGTATATAATGGTTAATGAATTCACATAGAAAAAAGAGTAAAAAAGTGGTGTCTGCGAGCAAAAGTGAAAGTAATGCAGATGATTTTTCAGATTATGAAGATGTGAACATATACAAAGATAATATAAATATTTATCTTTTTTTATTTGTCCGAGATAATTTAGGATAGTAAACTGATGATAAATTAAATATTTTTTACACATAAAAAAATTAGAATTTCAACTTAGAACTTGTGTTTGTTTTGTCTTAGTTCCTTGTATTTATTACTGAAATAAAAAAAATATGTCAATTTTTTGCATTTTGTTTTTTTAATTAGTAAGGGAAGCAATTAAGGAGTACATTACTTATTATTTCACCCATAAAAAATAGGTAACTTAAATTATGTTATTTTAGCATTTAATAAAATGTTTTATTTTTTAAATATTTTTTTGCTATTTTCAACTATTAACTGTCAAAAAATTAAAATAACTTTTGTTCTTTAACTAATTCAGAAACATCTTAACGGATAATCCTAATGATGGAACTTCCCGATGGTCATCAGAAACTAACAATCCGCCACAGGTACGTTCTGATGCATTGAAAATATCTAACATTAGACATCTTTAATATGTAGATTTTTCTCATTTTCTTCTAGCTTGTTCAACGTTTTTGCTTTATTAATCATTCTTTAGTTTTTAAATCCTTATTGATACTTTAAAGCCGAAAAAGTTACTGTTAGCTTATATTTCACTTTTTAACATGTATTATATTTTTTCATTTGTCTTTACCATTTTTATCAATTTTTTTTTTTTTTTTTTCAAAAAGAACATTTACCCTACCCTATAGCTGCATCTATTTTATCTTCAAAGTAATCTTTTTCCTAGGTTCTTCTCATTTAGAAACAAAACAAATGTGATATTTTCTTATTCTTTTTTTTTTGTGACAAAATTAACTTTTTGTTTGATAAAAAATCAAAGCCAAATTACGCTTTTCCTAACTCTGTTTATTTATTTTAATAGCTGGTCTGAGCCAAGAAAAGTTACATATTACTATTCAAAATTTATATGTAACTTATGAATTTAACATGCAGTTCTTTGCACAAAAATCATGATGAAAGTGAAGTTGGCAGGAAATAAATTAATGTAAATAATTCCAAACTAATTTAGTTACAAAAGGTTATTTCAAAACAATTTTTTACTAAACATTTATGATTATGTATTATAGGAAAAAAATCAAGAAATTAAAAAAATTTGTTAACTTTTTAAAAAATAACTTTTATTGTTATTGAAAATGCAGGGTTTGTTCCTAACTAAAATTACTGAAGCATCAACGAAAACTAAATTAGTATGATAAGTGTTCTCTAATTTTTGAAATTTTGGATTCTTTTTTTCTATATGTCTAATTTTATTTATATGAATATATAAGAAGTAACATTTTGCTAGGAATACAGAATCTGCTCGACCTTAATGAAATTTCCAACATAAAATGCTTACGATTCAGTTCAGGTTTGCACTAAAGTAAAATGTAAGCAAAATAGAAAGATGTCTGCAAAAAAAATAATGAATATTTAGTGCAATATATTTATTTATTTTTTTATGTGCAGGATAAACAGCTTTTTTCATTTTTATTTATTTATTTTTATTTATTTGTTTTTATTTAATTTGAAGATCAGTCAACCCATATGATGTGTATAGTGTTTAATTTTCATGCTGATGAAATTTAAAAACATTTATTTAATGTCAACTATACTTGTTTTTTTAATTGTTAATTTCTTTATTTTTAGTTTTTAATATTAAAGCTTTACAATCCAGCTGTGGTTCAAATAATTAGTTTTGGAAAATATGAAAAGAGTCATGTATGTAATATGAAAAAATTCAAAGTGTATGGAGGTCTTGCTGATGATAGTATGATCGAACTTCTTGATGGGTAATTAATGACTATTTAACTTTTATTTCATTACATTAGTTTCTTAGCATTTATATTAATTACCCAAATTTTTATACGCATTTCCTGTTAAGTTATGTTTTTCCCTAGTCTGTTAATATAATAAGACTTCTGTTACTTTTAGGGGACTAAAAAACAACAATCAAACGGAGTGCTTCAATCTAAAATACATTGCTGGTGAAAACATGTTTGCTTGTCGATATATAAAAATAGGTTGGTAAAAGTTTTATTTTTATAAAAATAATGCTCGCAAATTTTTCATGATGTAATAATAATCAAATTTCTTTCAACTTATATTTTGTGACTGCAGTGGACAGTTTATTGTTTATTTTACAAACGTTCTGTGAATTGCATGATAAGATATTAAAGTTGTCGAAGAATAAATAAAATAAAATGAAAACATTTTTGACCGTATTAATTTAATGGTGTTTTCAATATGTTCTTCAGTGTATTACTTGAAAGCAGGTTCTAGAGCCGGACAAGTGTTATTCTTTAGAATCTTATTGTGACTTATATAGATATGTATATTCTAAGGTTTTATGTAGTTCAGGGTGAATAGCATTTTTAAAAAGTGCTTAAAGGTGCTTATTTTTAATTTACATTTTGTAAAAGCCCTTAAAGTTGCTTTTTTTATTCAGGGTTTGTAAAAAGTGCTTAATTTTCTATCTTTTTAAAAAGAAATGTTTTTCTTTTCCATGTCAATTGTCGTTCTAAATTACAAAAAATGCATGATTTTCACAATTTTCTATGCAATATTTATCAGAAACTAGTTTTTTTATCATAATTATGTAAAATTTTTAAAAAAAATTTTGAATTTTATTGATTTTGTGTTTATAAATTAAGAACTTTAAATGATAAAAAAAAAATAATTTTCATTACTACATAGATTCTAATTGTGATTTTTTTTTTTTTTCTTTTTGGAAGTGATTAAAAATATTTTTTGAGTACTTAAAAAGTGCTTATTTTTTAACGAAAAATCTGGCTACTCACCCTGTAGTTGTAACTTTGTTTATCTATTCAAGTATTTCTGTTTGTACTGTCCTATCTATTAACAGTATTTATTGTTAGTTTAATATAGTTATTTAATATGGTTATTTTTTAAATCATTTATTCCCATGCATAATTTATTATATCTGTGCATGAAAATAATATTCAGTCTATTCATTCCTATTCTTTTATTGCAGTACCTATTCAGTCATGGGGTCCAAGTTTTAATTTTAGTATCTGGCATGTCCAGCTTCAGGGTATTGAAGATTGGGATTTTGTAAAGCCATGTGTTAGTTGGTTCAATTTTGTGAGTATCCATTTATCAGGAGTCGTCAAATTATCTAACAGTTTTTAAAAATGTTTTTAGATTTTTAATTTTTCAAAATGACTTCACTTTGTGTGATATACTAACTACAGTCTTTTGCTAAAAAGGAATGCAGGAAAAAGAAAAAATATTTTAAATCTTTGAGAACCTGGATGATTTTAGTTTTTTTATCGATTGAGATTAATTAATCCAGAACTTAATTATTGATATTAGTTATTCATTTGTCTTAAAAATTAGAGTATAAAATACAGCAAATTATGTATAAACTTTAAAGTTTTGTTTACTTTGCTTTGTTTTTAAAAATAATTGAATATTAGTAGGTTTTTTCTAACTTGCTCTGAGGAATATTATACTTATTTTACTTTATATAAATGATTTAATGTGTAATTGTTAAATAAAATTCATTAAAGTTCTCTTAAAGAGATCTTTTTATTAATTTTAAATCTCTTTGAGTCTAGGGTTGTTTGATGTTTCATTTTAATTTTTTCGAAAATTTGTTAACCTAGTTTATTAACCTAGTAATTAATTAACCTAGTTTGATGCATGTAGATCTTTTTAATTCTTTTTGTAAGACCTTAATGAATTTTGATGTTCAATTTATATATTATTATTTACAATTAATTTGCTGGATTCTAAAGCTAGACTGAATTATGTGCACTTTTAAATATACATTATCATAAGATTTACTTATTTTAGTATCGAGAAAGAGAAGCGATCAGGCTTTGCTTGAAACATTTTCGACAGCACAACTATACGGAGGCTTTCGAATCTTTACAGAAAAGGACCTGTGTACAACTAGAAGATACCTTGTTAACAAAATTGCATCAATGTCTTGTGAGTCAACCACACTTTAATTCAATCTATTTTATTTCTGCTTTAATTTATCTTCTGTAAATTTACCATCTTCAAGTAAACATGGTTCCACAACCCTGCAGCATCCCAGTTATTCTTTTCACGTTTTTCTGATTATTTTAGCATTTCATTAGTTTTTAACATGTTTTGATATCATTGTATTTAACATTTAATGCTGCTTATATTTGACTTTGTATAGCTTCTTTCATTTTTTATGAATACATATATTTAATTTTTTTCCTTCATTATCAGGTAATTGATGGAGACTATATGGCTGCTGAGAAGTTGTTGATCAGTGCAGTTCACGGTTAGTCTTAGAAACACTGAAATTGATATAATCAGACTTTTTTTTCTGTAAACCTGGCTTTTGTATAGTATTTAATGTATTCGTCAAAGTTTGCAAGTTTGTTTGTTATGATATAATCTATGAGATTGCTTAATTTTCCAGTATTGCCTAAGTGTAATTTTCTTTTTATTTATTTATTTATTTTGAATTCAACCAATGTAGGCTTGGATTTATATGTGTTTAAGACAAGGAAATTTCAATACAAAAAATAATTAAAATTGTCAACAGGATTGAATTTTTATCTTGGCAGATTATATTTTAAAAACTTATATTATGTTTTTGCTTTTTTATTAAACTATTTTTTTGTTTCTAAAGATTCATTGTTTATGAATGAATATTAGATTCACGAATTTACATTCATAAGTCATGTAATCATATTTTTCTAGATGGTTGCTTAGATAATTACCTAGATCAACAAACACATAAAGCAAAATGGGTTCCTATAATACCAGAGCCAAAAATTCCAGGTAAAACTGCTTATGTTTTAATTACTAATAATCTGCATTTGTAAGAATAAAATAATGAAAACTGACTCTAATTTTCCATCTAGAAACTGAAGGTTCAAAGCCAGGTATGAGAGGTGGTCATCAGATGTGTATTGATGTTCATACAGGTAATAATTATAAATAGGTTATAATATTTAAAATATGTCAATTAATAATCAATTCATAAATCTTTGTTCTATACATTTTAGAACTGCTTATTTTCAACGCATTGAAATTTCTAGTGCAGGCTAATTTTCAAGTGTAACTATCTAAATTATATAAAATAACTGCTAAAGAAATAGTAATAATGAATAGTCTAATGAATTTTTACATTTTAGAAAATATTTACTTATTTGGAGGATGGGATGGTACATCAGATCTCTCTGATTTATGGTGTTATCATATACCTTCTGGTACGTGGAACTGTCTGTCCCGGGACACAACATGTCAGGTAATATTTTTTTTAAAGAAATAATTATGTATCTCCTTAAATATAAGTTGTATGTGAACTTTAAAAATGATTGCATAATCTTATTTTTTTATTATTATATTTAGTTTTTTGAATTTTACAAAACTAAGACTTTTTACCAAAAAATTTATTGTTATTTAATTGAGGGAATAGTGCTTATTTCAAATACAAGCAAGTTAAGTTTGAAGACTTGATAAACAGAGTGGCCTGAAAATAGGGAAAATTCAAGGAATTTTATCAATCTTGAAAATCAGGGCTGTGTTATGTGATATTTAGTTATTGACTCTGAAACATAGCTAAATTATTTGTTACAATTAAACTTTTCATTATTGTCTCATATTAACTATTTATTATAAATTAATTACATAATGACATTTATGTAGAAATAAAATAAAATGAAGAAGCAGTTTTCGAATTTTACTTAATTTAACAGAAACATATTAACCATTTTACTTTATTGAACATGATATTGTGGGATAGTAATATATATCAGAATGTTCATGTTAGAATATTCACATTTAGTTATTTTAGTTTTTAGAGAAATTATCTTTTAGAGAATCATTTCATGTAAAATAAATCAATAAGAAGAATATTTATCTTAACATAAGTGTCACTGGAAAGTGTACAAATCATAATTATTTATCATTAGATTGTATGTGCAAAATATATTGAATGTATATTAATCAAATCTCTGAATCTTAGACCATAGAATTTCTCACTACTATATCATAGTGGAAACCCTTCATAACAAACCAGATTTTCCCCCATCTTTTTTAATGTGAAGGTGGTGTAGTGAGAAAAAAACTTCACCAAACTTGCCAAGACTAATACTGTACAGTGGGATTAATTTCATTTTGTAAAACTTTTGTCATAATGTACTTGTATGTATAATTTATTTTCCTGTTCTTTTTGTAGGGTGGTCCTACTCCTCGTTCATGCCACAAAATGTGCCTTGATCCTGAAAGAAAAAAGATATTTGTTATCGGCCGCTACCTTGATTCCCAAATGCGAGTGCCAAAATATTTAAAGGTATAATTTTTTATGTTCCTCATTTATGTACTTAAATCTTTTTTTACACTTATGTAAATCATGTACTGTGGTAAAAAATAAAATTGATTTTTAAAAGCAGTTATTTTCTTCTGATTTTAACAACGTAGTTTTGTATCTTCACAAGGAACAAGAAATTGAACATTTGTCTTTATCTAAAAAATATGTTATGTACTAAGAAATTAATCTTTATATTCCAAATTTAGTTTAAAAGCAATTTTTTTTAGAAAATTTGCTAAAAAATACTTTTCAAACCATTCTTCTGAAAATATTTTTCTCAGTTTAATAACTAAACCTCTCTCCAATGATAGTCAAATATAGTTATACATTCTCTTTTTGAACCCAGGAGTTTATCAAATATATATGTGTTAGTCTGTAGCATTCTCTAAAACTTGAAGTATATTTTTTACATAGATGCCTATGGTTTCCCAGTTTATAGTTAACTTTTCACTAATAAAAAATAAGCTGTTTCTGCTATGTTCTGAACTCTAATAGCAGTTTTAATATTGTAATTTTTTTTTTCTGACCCATAAGTTTCCAATTGCTTTCTGTGTCAAAGTTAGAAAAAAAATGGATTTAAATGTAACTCTATTTTTATTTTTTTCAAATAGCCCAAAATAAATCATTATGTCCTGCAGTTGTGAATACAGTAAAACCTGTTTTTGTGCAATGGATAGGGACCGCATGAAAGAAATCATACAAAAAAATATTCGAAAATTTTATGAAGTCTTACATATAATAAACAACTTTGTACGATATACTACCTAAAAAAATTTTTATGCGGTGGATCGAGACCGCATAAAAAAAGTCGGACTTAGAAATTGCATCAATGGTTTATGAAATATATGAGAGAATGCTTTCAATTAAATTAAATTAGACCTAAAGAAATTGTAAAAATATTTAATTCTTCATTGTACAATATACATGGAGAAGTTTTCAAATTATACATTAAATAGTTTACTGCTACTCGTCGTAATCCAAAACGCGCATCTTCTTGTGATGAATTGGTTGAAAATCGCTTTCATCGCTTGAAGATAGGATTTGAATTGATTTGTTTTTTTGTTACCATAAAGTCAGTGATCAGTTTTTGTGACGACGGTCGACTGGTCAAGGAGACCACATAATCAGAGTTCGTCCACAACATGTATATGTACATTGATAGGAAACATTAAACTGGTGCTAACCCTGCTAAGATTCATATACAGCATAAAAATAAATCGCACAAAAATAAAATTGCACAAAACCAGTCGCACAAAAACAAAATCGCATAAAAAAAGGACCGCACAAAAACAGGTTTTACTGTATTATCAGATTGGAATAATTATGCTTGCGGCAAACAACTTATTATGCTTGCTACAGTTAATAACTACTTGATATGCTTTGTTGGAAAATTCTCTAAATATGCTATGTATCAAACTTAATTTAGTATAAAGAATAATTTATAAATTATTATCTAAGATAAATTTGAAAACAGGCTAAAAAATTTTATAATATTATAATAATAATGAAAAACTGTTTTAAATGAAAATCATATTGTTTCACATTAAGCATAAGTTCTAGATTTTTATTGTCTTTTTGGTTTTTAAAACTTTTTTTTGTTTATATTTTTAGAGTGATTTCTTTGTGTATGACATTGATTCTAATCAGTGGACTTTAATTACTGATAACACGGCTGAGATGGGTGGTCCAAGATTAGTGTTTGACCATCAAGTTTGCATGGATGTTGAAAAGAACACATTATATGTGTTTGGTGGAAGAATATTAGTGAGGTAATTTTAATTTGTTATATGGTTTTGAAAATATCCTTCTTCAATTCAGATTCTTAAATTTAATAATCTTATGGCAAGTAACATTTCTGAAGCTCTCAGTATAAGAAATTTTTTAAAGGTAGTTTAATAAAACAATTTTTATTTAAAAAAAAAAAATTTAATTCCTAGAAACAGAAAATTTGATAAATGGTGAAGGTATTTTTGTTATTTGAAAAGAAAAATTATGAATGTTTTGTTAAACCTCAATTAGCATTTCAGAGGCATTTGAATCTAATTGGTCTCATCTGTACAAAAGGGGTAGGGTATACTTTCTGTTATGCTGACTAAATGAAATAAAACAAATTGTGAATAACAGGGATGAGATTTTTCCGCTTTTTAGCGGATTTCCGCTTTTTCACTTTTATCTCTTGAATTTCAGCTTTTTTATCAAAAATTCAGATTTTCTAATAATTTCACTTTTTTTTATAAGTATTCCGCTTTTTCAGAAAATTCACCAATTTTCAAAGAGAAACAGAATATTCAAACTACATAGCTACCAATCCTTTCTCATTTTTACTTATTTTATCTATTTTCTCCACTTTTACACGCAGCAGATAAGATTTTCCGAATTTTTTACCCGCCGTCCAGATAGATCCGATTTTCGTAGTTCAAACGACTCTGCCTCTGACAAGCCTTTTAGAGGTCCCAAGGCTGGAATGTGCTAATATCTCGATTCTTATTCACACGATTTTAATATCAAACATAGCTTTTCATATTTGAGTGTTGCGATTCTTATTCACGCGATTTGAATATTGTACGTTGCAATTCTTATTTGCGAGATTTAAAATCACGATATTGTGATTCGTATTTACGCCTTTCTAAAAACCCATGTAGCGATTGGTATTCACGCAAGTTTAAAATTCAATGTCTTGATTTGCTCATGCGGCTTATAATATCAAACATTGATTTTCGTATTTATATTTGATTTTAAAATAAGGCATTGGGATTCGCATTCACACAGTCTAAAAATTATGCATCATAATTCTTATTTATGCAATCTAAAAATTACGCATCATGATTCGTATTTACGCGATCTAAAAATTATGAATCGTGATTTGTATTTACGCGTTTTAAAAATTCTATATCCCAGTTTGTATTTTCTCATTTTCAAAATCGTATATCTAGTTTCATATTCATGTGATTTCAAAATCCATAATTGTTATTTATATTCACGCAATTTTAAGATCAACTATCGCGATTCTTGTAAGAAGTAAATTTTTTTAAAATTAGTTACTATAAAGGTGACTGTTTTTCTAACGACGATTATTAGTATATGTAAGTGTTACAACATCAGAAACCGTAAGAAAATATATTCAAAACTTACATTCTGTGCTTGCAAAGAAGTAAAAATAGGATTTGTCACAAGATGTTTGAAGATGGACTAACGACTAAATATAGCAAGCATAAAAGATATAGCAAACAAAAGCAATCACATCAATTTTGGAGAAAGAGTTAATTAACTCATCATCAAAATTTTATTTATAATTGCTATTATTTATGCTATAAAATGCAAAATTCTTATCAAATAAAAAACAATTATCTAAACAGTTGCTGATTGTCATGTAATTTTTCAAACTAAAATAACAATTTTTGTATGTTAAGGAGTTACTATATATTTCTACCTCACTGTTATTGATGTGTTTCAGAGGGCTCTAGTTAGATTAGACTATAATATTAACATAATGATTCAGTACATTGTTAAAGTTTTTTTTTCCAATATATAATTTAAAAAGTAATATTACTGATATTTTTGCTATAAATCACATAACAATATTTATTAAAAGAAATGAAATATTAATGTATATTCTCAGTAGTTTTAATTTGCTAAACCAGATAGTTTTTCAAGTAATAATTGTCTCTTATGTGAACTGAGGAAAAATATAATTTTCAGCTTTATTTTTTCAATTGGTGATTTTTATTTTCACTAAATATTAAGTATCAATGTAATAATTTATATAATAATTGATTAGTACACAATTATATGTCAACACATTATTTATTACCTTAAACTGTCTGGAATTTATTATTAAAGGGTTGCGCTTGCGTAAAATTTACTATCGTGGAAATTCAGCTTTTTTGCCTTTTGGCTAATCTCATCCCTGGAATAAAGCAGAAATTTTTATTCATATTTGCACTTTCATTTGTGCATCATTTACACTACCCTTTCTATTTAGTATCATATTTGATTCCATGAAAAAATTTAAAAAAAGAGAGATGGGATAGAAAACAGTACTTTATTGGTCGAAATAAAATTATAAAATTGTAGTTTTATGCTTAAAACTATTTTAACTTCTAAACCATCAGTCCAATCAACTATTAGTTCAAGCTTTTTATTATGTCTTATGTTTTTAATTTGTCTTATGTCTGAGGTGTCCACCATCACCTCTCTTATTCTATAATGTATAAAGGAGAAATTAGATTATTCACAACTCGCAATCACGAAAATTATACATAGGCTTTTAAAATTTAGATATTCTAAAGTAGTTTAAGTTTGTTATTTTTATGGTAAGATGTTGCAGTATTAGTGTGCAAACATTGGGTATACAAAAAAGCGAATCTAATCAAAATGCTTGTTTAGTTGTTGTAAGATTCAACATTAATGTATTTAGCTCTTCAAGTGTTGCAACTCTTTAAAAAAATTGCGATGAAGAACAGCAAGAAGCAGATTGATGTTGACTTCCAGTTCCATCAGAACTGAATTAGGGAAAGCATTGAATAGAAAAATTTCATTAAGAGTGAAGTTAATTCTAATTTAAACACCATACTTTTGTTTTTTTAATTGATGTAAACTTATTTGTTTGTTTATTAAATTTGCACCAATTATTTTTTTCATATTTATAAAATTGATGCAATTAAATATTTTTTTTATGTATCATTTTATCTAATATCGCTACAAAAAAAAATTCTGTTAAAAAGAAATGTTTTTAATTCCTTATAAATTGTGCAGTTAAACCTTGATATTGCCAATTTGAAAAGAGACAGTACTTTTGTGATACTGAAAATTTGGAATATCAAGAATAGAGTATTTTTTTATCAACTCGGGTAAAATAATCACTGTTCTGACATTTTAAAAATTGTTTGACGTGTATTTACTTGTGAAAACATATATTTCAAAAAGTATGTCAATATCTTTGTTTTTCATTTGGTTTTACTTTTTGCTAAGGTTCTTCTGTTTTCTTTTCCAATATTTCTGATTCTTCCCTATCATCCCATACTGAAACGTTTTCTACAGTAACTACTTCATAAATATCAGTCTCTTTAGGATTCATTAAATTAGCTAATTCTTTCCTGTGTAATGAAAAGATTATCGTATGTCTATTTTTTTAAGAATATATAATTTTGGCAGATTTTTGTAGTAAAAAATAGTAATAAATAAATTTTTAAAAAAAACACCTTAAGCTTTTTTTTATTAGAATTTTAATAAATGATTCATAAAATTTTTCTAGAAAAGTTTTTAAGAAAGTTAAAAAAAAACATTTTAAATTCTTCGGAAATCAATCATATTTGGTATTCAACTATAAAGGGTTTTTTTTTCTATCTGTAATTAAGCATGCGCATCTGGAATTTAGACTTTCTGGTTTTATCAAAAAATAGTCTTAATCAAAGTTTGTAATATCAAGGTTCAACTATAATTTGTATTCTATTTATTTTCACTGTCTATAATTCCTTTCTTTTTTTTCAGTAATAGTACCTCATCTAGTGATGAAAACGTTTGTCCTGAACCCATGTTTAGCGGTTTATACTCTTACCATGTTCCTACCAATACTTGGACTAAACTTCGAGATGATTATCCTAAGCCCAGAAGATTTGACTTTGAAATTAAGTCAAGAATTGGTCATTCAATGCTTTTCCATGAGGTATTGTTTATCCTTTGTGCATTAAAAGCTTGTTTTAATTTTGAATTAAATTAGTAGTTATGCATTTATTTTGTTTTTAATTTAATGTTTATAATTTTGTTTCACTGCTGTAGAAATCCCGCTTACTCTATATATTTGCTGGGCAAAGAGCCAAGGAGTATTTAAGTGATTTCTTTACCTATAATGTTGACAGTGACAGAATAGATTTCATATGTGATGGATCAGATAATGAACGTAAGATATTTCCAACTTTATTATATGTAGAATAAATGTAAATTTTTGTACTAAAAACTAAATTTTCTAACATTAATGTAACATTTTTTAGATAAAATTTTGCTATGATCTTATATTTCTTACGTACTTAGAAATGTGATTTAATTTTTCTTTTATTTGATTTAATCACATTCTGAATTCGAAATTCTTGTACTTGATTATGGCATAAATAGAATTATTAATTTTGAAAAAAAAAAGAGAAATAAAGAAAATAATCTATTATAAACTGGTTATTCTATTATTTTATATAACTATTATATATTACATAGCTATTATATTATAATTAATATATATATAAATAATCAATTAAAAGCTATTTAAAAAAAACTATAGTTGTTAATTACACTTACTGTTTTTTCAGGAACTTTCAAAGTTTGAGAAATTTTTAAACATCAAAACTGACATTTAGCAGCACATAACATTGCATTACCTCAACTTTTATTTTTGTAAAAAATGTTTAATGTATGAAAAGGAATAAAAATCAAAGTATGAATGGCACTAACATTTGTTTTAAAAGATATTTATAAATTTTCTTGATTATTTTCATCTAGAGCTATGTGCAATTAAATGTCTGCAAATGTTATTTCTGTAATCACAGTCAGACTAGAACGTGAGGCTGTTAAAAGAATAAATTATTTTCAAGTTCACGGAAGTGTTTAAAAAGATCTGCTTTTGATTTTGTTATTCAGCACTTTAATTTTCATAATTTATTAGAAATTTGAAATATTAAAGAAACTTAACATTTTATTTCAAATTTTTGAACAATTTCTTTTTAATTTGCTTAATAAATGTTTTATTCTGGAAAGTTTCTAGTTTTGACTATTTTGTTTTGCTATTCTTTTTTCATTTAGTTATTTTATTTGCTAATCATGCCGAACACATTTTAGAAAAGTTAGATGATAATAATTATCAAAATTTTAATTTTAATAAGCATAATGAATATAAAACATTACATCAGTAGTTGTCACAACTATTATGTTCTGTGTTCTTTTTTCTAAAAAAAAATTCAGAAATAAAAAGTTTAAGATAAATGCTGAAATGCAAATTTTTACATCATTTTCTGCTACAGTTGCATGAAGTAAAGCCAGAAATGAATTGATATTCATTTATTACTCCAAAAATTCTAAAATACTCCTTAATATTTATTTGGCTACCATGTGCAAAAGTTGAATCTTAGAAAAAATTCTAAAAAATTCCCTTTTTTTTTTAAACATTTTCGATTAATTTTGCATACTTATTATGATATTTATTAAATAATATATCAAAATTTAGTGAATCACTTATAATCAAATCAATAAATGTCTGTTTACTTTGATATCGAATTAATCAAAATTATCATATTATTTAATAATGATGTAAACTTTTCCTAGGAGTTTAAATTTATAAATTTTTAAAATTGTTAACCAAAATAAATGATGTCTACTTATTTTCTATATTATAATGTAGGAAATTTGCACTAAATGACTGATCGATTATTTTTCATTTTCATCCCATTTTTGAAAGGCACTTCTGGTTTATAGTTAAAAATAATTTTTGTCTAATCATATTTATTACACATTTGAAGATTCAAAGCAAAAAATCTTAAATTCAATATCAGATTTTTGGTTTTTGTTTCAAACTTCAACATTTATGCAAGGAGAGAAAGACGAAATATAATTTTTTAATGATAAAATTCCTTAGATGGCATTATTCCTTTCGAATATCCCAATGTCTGAAGAAAGTTATTATCTTTATTATTAGAATGATTAGTATATTAAGTAAAATCTTTGTCTTTCATTTTAATATATATCAATATATTAAAATAAAATACATCAATGTACATATTTTTTTTTTTTAGTTCCTCCTGCTGGTTTTACCCAAAGGGCTACTATTGATCCAGAACTTAATGAAATTCATGTGTTATCTGTAAGTATGCCTGTTTCATATCTATCTAAAAGATATATTTTTATTGTTTAACATATAGTTTTAGAAATAGTTTTGTACATTAGAGGTAAAAAAACCATTTATCCATTTTTTTTAATGAAAAGGGCAATTCCATGAAACAGGGGAAAAGCATTAGAAAATTCAAATAAGAATAATGTTATCATTTTGGATGTTTTGTGAATTAGAAAGGTTTGATAATTTATAATTATTTTTTTTGAGAATTTAGTTTTTTAGTGTTGGTAACCCATTGAACATTAGCATTTACTTTTTCTGATTTGGGTGACGAACATGGTCAGTTTTTGAAAATCAGTGAGTTAACATTATTTTAATTTCAAAATGCTCCAAAGAATAAATATTGTTTATTACACTTAATAGAAATATTGTGCAGTGTTAAAATAAATTTTTGTTGTTAAATTTATTTAATTATATAAATTTCAACTGAACATTAAGGCATGTAACGTAAGTTACCAAAAACTAGAAAAAGTTTTTGTGTGTAAAAAAGAACAAGTGATACAAAAGTAAGAATAATATTTTTTCTTCCTTAGAGGCTAACACTAAATAAGCAGCAATAGTTTTCTTTTTAAATATTACTTATTTATTGTTTTGTGCCCCATTCAATATGTGTAACGTAAGTTACTGACATGCATGCAATGTAAGTTACCAATGTGAAATGAGTTTATTCCTCTTGAAAATTGGCATACAAGCTAATTAAGATGTATCCAGTTGCAATACCAAAGTTTAAATAAATTATCACTTCCTTAAGATATTGATTTTAATGAAACTCTTTGCTTTAAGTTATTACTTTGGGTGTTGGCATTCATATGTTTTCAGAGTTGAACGAAATCTTTCGACAGGCACCGGGAGTTAAGGATGTAGTTATAATTAGAGATGCTCCTGGTGACAAAAAGAAAGTACAAGCACGGCATCTTCATCATTCAGTTCGAGAAATGCACCAAATGTTTATGGAAGAAAATCCAGAATGCAAAATTGGAAAAACTAGATTCTTTGAGCCCCGTTCAAAGCATGTCTTGTTTAGTAGCAAACTTCCAGGCAATGTTTGTGTTTATAAGCATCATGAAAAGTTCGGATTGACCAAGGAAGCCTTCAGCAAAATTTATAATGTTTCATCTTACGAAATTCTTTAGAAATTTATTTTATGTTTAGAAAAAACAGCTGAGTGCGAGTCTCTAGAACAGATGAATGGAGTGTCTAGTCTATTCTCAAAATCTCCACAGATTAAAAACATTAAGCAGATCCACCATTTAAGTGTACAAGAAGGCATACCAGAAGAGTTTTTTTTAGTGAAAGATGTTGAAAAAGAAAATGATGAATCCAAGATAAATGCTGGGGGTTGATATATGGTTAGATAGGAGGACATGTTATATCCTGGTGTGGTAATGTCTGTTGCAGAGCAAGAATTTAAAGTCAATGTAATGGCTGCTGTGGGAATCTATTGTAAATGTCCAGTAAAAAGAGATGAAATATTCTACCAGAAAGAAAGCATGGTGAAAAGAATTGAACCCCCTGTACTAGTTAATAACAAAGAACTTAACAAGTTTGCAGTTATGTGTGAATCAAAAGTATCTGAATTTACTTCATGTACACTTTTCTCCCTTGCACCATGCTGTTTAAATAACTTAATTTGCATTTGTACATTATTTGATAAAAGTTTGATACAAAGGGAATTTCGTAACGTAAGTTACTGTAACGTAAGTTACCCACTTAAAAAATTATATTTAATTTAACTTTTGAAATAAAATCTTAAATCTAGGCATAAGAAATATTTAAACATGTCAGAAAAATGATACATATAATCTTAATCGTGAAACTTTTGTATAAGAACAGAATTTTGCCTTCAAGTATATTGCAAATTTATGCCATTCTTTTTTCGCTAACGTAAGTTACCACACTAATTTTAGGATTTTACACTGTTTAAATTGAAAAATAATAATTATTTTAATTAGATTCCTTTTGGTTCTGACTGTAATTTTAAGAAATCACTTTATTTTAATATGTGTATTCATATTATTTGTTTGCCTCAATGCAATAAAGTTTATGTGAATGTAACGTAAGTTACCGTGGAATAGCCCAAAAGCTTAATATGCAAAACGTAAGTAAACATATAAAAAAATTGATTCAACTGGTCATGGGAAAATTTGAAAAATTTTTTATTTTGTGGCATAGTGTCTTATACCTCTGACGCTCAGTTCTTTAATGAAAAGCTAAACAAAAATTTTCTATTTTTTGCTTTTATGTTTTGCAAAAATTTTTAATCATGACTGCTATTGCCGTATTACTTCTTAATGTATTCATTTCAATTTAAATTAATAAAAATTGAATAATCTCAATGGTTTATTATTATTATGTATAAAATTAAAATGGTGTTCTTCATATCTTTGAATGATTAAAATTGTTCCATTACTTAAGATGTATTAATTAGATAGAATTGTTAAACATTTATGACATTATTTCTGTGTGAAACTTTTTAACTTTTTCAAAATTCTTTTTCAGGGTTCAAATAAAGATAAAAGAGATGAGCATGTAAAAAATTCTTTTTGGATTTATGATATAAGTCACAATAAATGGTAAATATGTATTTCTACTTTGTTTTTTGATTAGCGTGTGCATTCACTGTACAGGTGTCTCTCATTTAAATGCCTGAAATGCATACCTGAGTTTTATGAGTAAAAGTTTTAAAAATAATGTAAGTTTATATGGTATCATTTATAGATAAAGTTATGTGCTAGCATTTATTAAAATATTTAAGAATTTTTTTAATAAGTCTCTATTTTTAAACTATTACAAGAATAATAATTCAATCAAATATTTAATAACTGGAAATTTATTTATTTTAATTTTTATAAGTTTTTTCATTCTATATAGTAGATTTACAACTCTCATTTTTCAATTTTATATTTAACTCAGAGAACAAGTTCAGTATGTTAAACGCACTTTCTTAAATAATGTTTTTAGTGATACTAATATACACTTATGCTGCTGAAAGAGGTAAATCTTGTAACTCTCTGGAATTTTGTTCAAATCAAATGAAACTTTTATTAAACCATATAAAATGTTTTATGTTAACATTTTATTAAACACCCACCAGGGAGAGTTTAGAAACGTCCCAGAATTAATAATTTACTCTTTGAACTATTCCAGCTTAATTTCCCCTTTCACTACTATTCTAAAAATACAGTTTTATTTTATATAATAGTTTTAAATTTTGTAATTAATTCTTTTAAGTTCTTTTAATTTAATCCATTCTGATTTTTTTGAAGTATCTTATCTAGTCATATTACACTGTTTAATATTTTCAATAATATTTAAAAAAATAATTTTTTTAAATATGACAGGTCTTGTGTTTATCAAAGTGAAGTTCGAGAAAATGACTCTGCTTCCCAAAATGCTCAACCTTCTGAACCGTGCCCACGTTTTGCCCATCAACTAGTCTACGACCATGTGAAAAAAGTATGGAGCCTTCTTTATTTTACAGTTCTTTCTAAAGTGGATGCAATTAAAAAAAATTTTACAATCTACAATATTTTTATTCATTTATAAATTTATATTTTCTGTGATTTGCAAACATTACATAATTCCATTCCTGTTTTAAATTACAGTTATTAAGTTTGTTCTATTTACTGTTATATAGCTCAAGACTACGTTTAAAACTGTTGTGATTGTAATTTTCAATGCAAACAAATATAAAAGTTCGTATAAAATTAAAAATGTTTCGTGTTATTCAGTGTAACTGTTCAATACTAACTGGGTCTGCAGCTTTTTCATCATCAAACTTTTTCTTTTTTACTATATGTCAAAATCTAACCCTACAACCAAAAATATAGAATTTTTTTCTTTTACAGTTCATATTTCTGTTACATTTTTTATTACATATTTTTTACATTTATGCTCTTAATAATGTAATTAGACTCTCTCAAATTGTAAAGAGACTTAGCCAATTTTAGATCATTTATATGTTTAAAACTTTTCTTTTTAAATTTATATAAATCTTATTGAAGCTTATTTATGTAGCTTGTTCATATTTATTTTCCAGAATTTTTTTTTCTATTAGTCTGCAAATAATCATAACTTAATATAAAAGAAAGCTATTTTTCCCCCACACAAATAATCAATTCAACTTCAGGAATCTGATTAAAAACCATTTATTTTTTTCACTACACTTTCACTTTAAAAGCAGCTCTAATGTTCAAAACTCAATTGTTTAGCAAAAGAAGGGAGAGTTTAAGAGTGGAACATACTAACGAAATTATAAAAACTATAATTTACATAAGAATAGAAGAAAAAAAATTAGTAATAATAATGAAATTTAATTTCAATAAAATAGAAAAAAAGTGTATAACTTTAACTATTTTTAAATATTATTATTTGTTTTAAAAATTTTGCTTTCCAAAGAAATTATAAAATAATAATAAAAAAAAATTAGAAATGCAGAATTATGAAGAAAAGAATTCACCTGATTTTATTTTAGTATAGTAGTATTTTAACACTAATACCAAAACTTAATTTAAATATTTTTTTTTATAATTCTTATTATTACTTATTTTGTATTGATTATTTTAATTGGCACACATGTATGTGGAATGTATTAAAAAATAAGTATAACAAATTATATAAGTTATATAAAACAAAACTTTACTTGATAATAAAAAAAAATGAAACAGCTCTTCTAGTTTTAAGTATTTAGTCTTCATGAAATCAGAAATAATAGCAAAATTTATTAATTCCATGCTGATGTCAGTTGAAGATATCTGTATTGTCTTTGTCCGGTCATTTGTAGTAACAAATGACAGGAACTGGATTATGTTTTTTAATATGTAAATGGTGAAAGCAGTAACTTTCTTAGTTACTGAACACATTCCATTTGCATTTGAAAATACTATTTAGATGTATTCTAAATACAATGAAAACCATATTTTTTTATTCTTTATATCTCTTAGATTATACTATTAATTTTTCAGGTGCATTATTTGTTTGGTGGTAATCCTGGTAGACTGCATTCTCCAAAAATGCGTTTAGATGATTTTTGGTCACTTCACGTAAGTGCATATTTTAATTATAACTTTTAATTTAAATTAGTCAAAATTAAGTTGAAAAGTCAGTTTCATAAATCTTGCATTTGCAGTGCAATGTGTCACACAATTGTATCCTGTACTCATATTTGGTAAAAAATTTTGCAACGAGTAATTATAATTATTGATAATTAGCAATATTCATTGTGACTAAATATTGAAAATTGAAATATTTCAATTCTGCTTATAAAAATCTCATAATATGTATTAAACAATAAATTTTAGTCTGCTTTTGTACAAGGCTCCATCGGTGGACTACCTGAGCATTGTTTAGACCATTTGAGATTTTACTATAATTGAGCTTCATCTTATCCAAAATTTCTCTCTCCAAGCTTCTCTTGATTAAGTTTAAATCAACAATTTAGAAGGAAACATAAGTTATTTTTTGCAATGTTGAACAAAAAAAAAAAACTTACACGCATTTTTAATAAAAATTTTCTTTATCTTCACCATTAAAGACTTTTATTTTATTTTAAAACCGGCTTTGAACAGCCGACCCAATTCTGACTTAGCAACTATCAATGTTAAACACCTTGTAATTTTCACCCCAACCCAGAAGACAATGGAACTCTTGAATCAAGCATTGGAAGAAACTAGCCTTCATGAAGGAACTAACTGGATTCACGTTACATGTAGAGAGGAAAACCTCCCATTTTTAGCCCGACAGCAAGGGAACTCGAATCCATGATCTGTCGGCCACTAGTGATATTTTACATCACCATAGTCGTTGGTTGTGAGCTGGGTGCAAAACTGATATCAACTGGGTCACCTCATAGTCGAGTGCTCCATCCCCTACGCCGCCACGGCTCATCATTAAGGGTACAGATGCTGATGTTGTACCAGTATCAGGGTACAACCTCTAATCTAGCCTAATTAAATGATAGGCTTTTAACTACTTAATTTGGATTATTTCATGAAAATGGAATTTACATCTTCAGAGCAAAAAGAGATTATGCTGTTTTTCATAGGGGAGTGGAGTTATGGCAAATGTAAAGTTAACATGCAAATTTTAATCTTATTTTGTGTATTTTATGCTACCATTTTGCAATGTTAATGCACCATTTGAATATTAATTTATCCTTTATTTATATATATATACAAATGTTTATTAAAAAACAAAGTTTCAATTTTCGATGTTATTATAACGACCCTGTTTCATAACTTTGTAACTTATTTTCTGGATCCTCATTTTTGATATAGTTTTCAAAACTTATATTGTTTTTATAGCTATTCCGCCCAACCAAAGAAATGCTTTTGCGTCAGTGTTGCAGAATCATTCGACAACACAAATTTCAAGAAATAGCCTCAGTAGATCAAATTGCAGCCCTTCAGTATTTACAAACAGAGCTCGCCAGTACTGTTGATCATCAAAATTCTGAAGAAACAAAAGAAGTAAGCAAACTATATTTTGGTTATTTATTTATTTTGTTTTTGAATTTTTTTTTTTTTTTTTTTTTTTTTTTTTTTTTTTTTTTTTTTTTTTAATTCTGGCTTTGCATTTACTTTTTGTTTACTTTTAGTTTCAGCTTTTAGCATTCAACTTATTTAAGGAAAAAGAAAAAGAAGCCAAAGGTCAGAGCTATTTCAAAATTTTCATCCAATCAATTTTAACCTTGAAAAACATATATACTACCTTGCAATAATGGAAGAAATGCTTGAAGGATTATTTTGTAACTTTAGAGGTGTTTAGTTCATGTGATTTTTTATACTTAGCAATAAGATTTAAAGCTTTCAGAGTTTTTGAAGACCTACAATAAATTATGCAAGAAAACAAGTGTTTTTGAATATCCTATGCCAGAAAGTTAAGCAAAAATCTTGTAACTTGCATCTTAACTTTGTTATTTTTCATAACTGCATAAACTTTCGTAAACCTAGAGTAAATATATATATAGAGATATGGACATTTTTATAAAAAATTAATTTTTTTGCCTTACGTTTTTTTGCTATAACTCATAAATATTCACTGGAATCAAACAAATTTTAGGAGAAATTTTGATTAATTACAAAATTGTTTATTGAAAGCTTTGAAAAAGTTTGTTAAAAACTGCACAAGGTATGAGTATTTAAACTGATCATGCACAGAAAAAATTTAAAAAAGTTTTTTCATAATTTTGTAGAGAATCATATTTGCAACTAATGATAAAAGCTTTATTTAAGTATCTTAAAAATTTAAAAAGTTTCAAGCGATTTTCTAAGTAGTTTTTGTACTTTTTAAAAGAAATCTCAAAACGATACAGGGTTATCCACAAATTTCATTCTTTTTATTAGTTTCCACATATGATTCACTACAAAATTATGAAAAAACTTTTTTAAAATTTTTTCAGTTCATGTGTAGTCCTCATAACTTACACAGTTTTTAACAAATTTATTTATAATGTTTTTGTAATTAATCTTAAATTGCTCAAAAAATTTAGTTTAATTCCATTGAATATCTATAAAGTTATTATGAAAAAGCATTAGATGAAAAAATTAATTTTTTTAAAAAATTGTCCATATCACCATAAATATTTACTCTATGTTTACAAAACTTTTTGCAGTTATTAAAAATAACAACTAAAGTAATCAATACAAGTTACAAGCTTATTGCTTAATTTTCTGGCATAGGGTGTTGACCTCTGAAACCTTGAATTTTATTGCTAAATATGAAAAATTGCATGTACTAAACATCTCTAAAGTTACAAAATAATTCTTTTAGTATTTCTTGAGTAATTTTAAAAAAATGTCAAAAACTGAAAGTGTCTCTTCCTTTATTGTAGGGTAGTGTGTATATTGTATATAAATATATTGTGTATGTGACTCATTCAAAATATAGATGTTAAAGCAAAATTCCTTTTATATAGTTTTTAATATGTTTATAATAGTCATTAATATTTATGCTATATATTATAAACAAAAACAATAATGATTGAATAAATAAGATTAATAACTTAATTTAAAGGGCATTAACATATTTACCAGAAATGTTTTTATATTTGTTACCAACAACAAATCATATTTTTTTTAAGGTTAAAGTTTAAATACAAAGAAAACTGAATCCATAAACTATTTTTCATGAGATGATTGATGCCGGATGTACGTAGAAATACTAAACTGAATGCATATATTAAATTTCACATTCAAACTATTAGTTTTATCTATCTCATTTTAATCTCCTTCTCTTCATCCTTGAAAAATATATAGTTCATAATATCTGACTTGTCTTGGTAAGAGTTTTAACTGTGTAAATAAGTAGAAATCCTACGTTTTATACTTTATGTTTACAAAATCACTTATAACTTCTGTGAAATTTGTCCCATCGCCTTTGTTTTTGGTGTCACTCAATTCAACACGAACGAAACAATACTTCACTTGAGAAAATAATAATGTTTAAGTGTTTTCCTCTTTACAATTCTTTTCCCCTATGTATATTCAAGATGGTGTCTAAAGCTGTTTTAAATATAATAAATTTGCACTTCAAATGATGCTTCAATAATTAAAACATTAAGAAAGGAAGGGCAAATCCTACTCAGAATGTCAATTTTTAAAATTCCATAAAGGTCTTAAAATTCAAAATAATTTTAAATAATAAGCTAAATAAATTCTTTTTATAAATCAATCTGAATTCCAAAAAAATTTTAACATTACTAGAAAAGAAATTGGCTTTATGAAGAGTTAACTAAAGCAAATTCCTCTTCAGATGATGTGGCTATTTTTACTAAGAGCTGGCTCAGTGTTCAGTAACATGATTTCTACCAAGATGGTTTGAACAAGGGCCTTTATTTCAATAAATGCCTAAATTGCCTTGATGATCATTTTGAAGTGAATTCAGGGATGTGATTCTTCCGCGGATTCGTGGATTTCCGCTTTTTGTCAGATTTTTCCATTTTTCCCGCTAATTTCCGCGGAAATTTTTTTTTTAACAAATTAAAATATTTTATGAGAAATTTAATTTTCCGCGGATAGAAAGTATTGAAGTCCTCATTCCTCCCTCTGAAGTTTCTCTAAAAATCATTTCCTTGGGATAAAACTGGTTGACCTTTATACAGAGATGAGATTTTTCGTTTTTGCCTCTTGAATTCCAGCCTTTTTATCAAAAACTCCGATTCTCTAAAAGTTTCGTTTTTTTTTTAAAATAAATATCCCGCTTTTTTCTCTTTTTTTCCTTTTGAAAATTCAGTCTTTGAAATAAAATAATTATATTTGTTTACGATTTTCAAAGATAAACAGAAAATTCAAACTATGTCCTAGCTGCTAACCCTTCCGTATTTTTACTTATTTTAGCTATTTTCTCCGCTTTTATACACAGAAAATAAGATTTTCCGTATTTTTATTCGTCCGCCGGATAGCTCATATTTTTGCAATTCAGACGTCGTGACCCTGTTGTCTGGCGTAAAAGCAAACGAAAAAAAAATATAGACGTGGATTTGCGGTGAAAATATTTATTTGCTCATTCAATTAATCTTGAAAATTTCTATTTATTAG